TACAAGCCCACTAGGTCAGCAGTCTCCAGCCTTTTTGGCACCAGGGCCTGGTTTCATGGAAAACAATTTTTCCATGGACCTGGGGCAGCGCAGGGGCAGGGGTGCAGTTTAGAATGATTCAAGTGCATTACATTATGCACTTTATTTCTATTATTATTACATTGTAACATACAATGAAATAATTATACAACTTACCATCACGTAGAATCAGTGGGAGCCCTGAGCTTGTTTTCCTCCAAATAGATGGTCCCATCTGGGGGTGATGGGAGACAGTGACAGATCATCAGGCATTAGATTCTCCTAAGGAGCCTTTTGAGGTTTGCGACAGGGTAGAGCATGACAAGGTTTGTGCTCCTATGAGAATCGAATGCTCCTGCTGATCTGACAGGAGGTGGAGTTCAGGCAGTAATGTGAGCGACGCGAGTGACTGTAAATACAGATGAAGCTTCTATGGCTTGTCCGCCGCTCACCTCCTGCTACGTGGCCTGGTTCCTAACAGGCTATGTATGGCTACTGGTCTGTGGTCTGGGGATTGGGGACCCCTGCTCTAGGTAGATCTTGTCAATTTTTCCTTCAGAGCCTCTCCTGAATCGATCTCTTCAATTTTATTTCTCTCAAGCTTTTTTAAAAAAATTCTTTTTTAAAGAGACAGGGTCTTGCTCTGTCAACCAGGTTAGAATGCAGTGGCACAATCAAAACTCACAGAAGCTTGGAACTTCTGGGTTCAACTGATCCTCCCACTTCCACCTCAGGAGTAGCTGGGACTCCAGTCACACGTCACCACACCTGGATCTTGCTAGATTGCCCAGGCCAGTCTTGAACTCTTGGACTCAAGCGATCCTCCTGTCTCTTAGGTTTTTATTACTAACCTTCTGGACTATAATAACTCTCTTGGTTATTAGTCTCTCCCTAGTCTAATCCACCTTGTACAATTCTATCATTTTATTCTTATCATTTAGATCATAACTAAACCTTGCTTATAAACTCTACACTGCCCGCTGTCAAGTCCTTTACTTTGGCATTTAAGATTCTCTACAATTTGCTCCTGACCTACCTTTTCAGTACTATGTTTTCATCCACATATTCACTCATTTGACATATACTTACAAAGTGCTTACTAAGGACATTGAGGAGTTGAAGATACTATACGGTGGTAAAGGAGCTTATGTTCTGCCCCAAGCAGACAGCGCTGAGAAGTTAAAGAAATTGGGTGTAGCCCCTTCTATGAATTCTATTTTGTTTGAGATGGAGTCTCACTCCGTCACCCAGGCTGGAGTACAGTGGCACAATCTTGGCTCACTGCAGCCTCCGCCTCCCAAGTTCAAGCAATTCTCCTGCCTCTGCCTCCAGAGCAGCTGAAATTACAGGCGCATGCCACTACACCCAGCTAATTTTTGTATTTTTAGTAGAAATGGGGTTTCACCATGTTGGCCAGGCTGGTCTCGAACTCCTGACCTCAAGTGATCTACCTGCCTCCACTTCCCAAACTGCTGGGATTACAGGTGTGAGCCACTGCACCAGCTCCTTCTATGAATTCTAAGAACCAGTCTTCCCTTATAGTCTTTAGTAAGGGAAAGAGAATATGTACAAAGATAATGCCAATCAATACAAGGAAGAAAATTAGTGCAATAAGACAGCAAGGTAATATGGGAGTTTAGATGTTAACTCTAACGGGGGGTGTTCAGGATGTCTTAGAAGAGGTGGCATTTGATTAGGTCTTGCAAAGAGGGCAGAGCTTCAATATGTAAGAAGAGGAAGGTCACTGTAAAAAATGAGCAAAGGAATAGAGATAAGAATGTATGGGAAACAAGTCTGATTTCCACACAGTGTATGTACAATAGACTAATAAGAGGTAAAGCTGAAAAGGGAGGATTAGGCTAAATCCAGACACTTAATGAATGCTTGGCCAAGGTTTGAACTTACCTGATATTTACTCCTTTGACAAGTATTTACCAACTGTCTACAATAGGCCAGATGGCAGGTTAAACACTAGGGATAGCAAGACAGACGTGGTCCTGGTCCTCTTGGAGATTAGAGTCTACCATAAAAGCAGTAAGAATTCACTGAAGATGCAGAACACAGGACTGCCATCATCAAGGTGCTACGTAAGATTAAGATTACTCTGGCATCAATGTGTGAGATTAACTGCACGGCAGAAGAATAAAAAAACAAAACAAGGCCACTTATTACAAAGTTTAGAAAGGAATGAGGCCTAAGACAGTGGCAGTGGTAATGGAGGAGCTAAAGGCTTGAAAGATATTAAGAAGGAAGACCATCAAGCTTAATATTTGTGCAGAAATAGTTGGAAGGGAGCAGGGAAGGGGGAAATGTAAAAGTGAACCATGAGACTGGAAAAAATCCAAACAGTTGTCAGCTCTGGGATTGGGGATGGATTGGAGAGGGGTATGAGAGAGTTCTCTGGGATGATGGTTATGTCTGTATCTTGATAGAGGCTTCACCACACAGGTGCGTGCATCTATCAAAACTCATTATATAGTCAATATCTATGCATTTCACCATATGTAAATTTTATCTTTATGTTTTTGAGACCGAGTCTCGTGCTGTCGCCCAGGTTGGAGTGCAGTGGCGTGATCTTGGCTCACTGCAGCACCTGCCTCCCGGGTTCAAGCTATTCTCCTGCCTCAGCCTCCCTATATGTAAATTTCATATTTACAAATTCCTGAAAACAAATATTAAACTCAGGTTAATGATATGTAAGCTGAAGTGTTTAGGGGTGAAGTGTATGTTACCTGCAATTTACTTTGAAATACATTAAGAAAGATAACATGGACTGGTGGATGAAAAGATGGGCAGATATATGATAAAGCAAAAAGAAAATATTAACTGTAAACTCCTGGTGGAGAATATGCAGTTTTCATTATACAATTCTTTCAATCCTTTTTGTTTGAAAAATTTCATAATAAAATGTTGAGAAAAGCGATAAGCATTCAGTTTTGAGCTTGAGTTGACTGGCGGGATACTGGCAATACAGAAGATGTAGGTAGGTTATGTCCATTAGTGACATAAGTAAGGGTTTGAGGTACCCAAGGTATTCGAGTAGAAATATTTACCAGGCAGCTGGAATTGCACAGGTAGAGTTATTTTACTCTGCTGCTTCCTGAACATCTCTCTGCCTCCATGTGTCCACTTCCACTGAAACCTTTTCCTTCTTCAAGCTTTCCCTGACTACCCTGTGCTCCGACATTCAGCATTGGATGATTAGTTCATGGCATTATCACGTCACTAGACTGGAAATTCTTAGGATAAACAGAATCTTATAAAGAACACATAGTGTTTATTTCATAAAGCAATTTTCAAATAAACAACTAAATAACACCTGACTTAGTATTGGAATATCCAGGTCTTTATGTTCACACTGATTCCTGGCTCAGAGGTAGAGTCCTGTTTTTTTTGAGACAGATATAAACAGATACGTGTATATATATATATATATATATGTATAGACATGCCAAAAGATATAAACAGATATAGATCTATAGAGAGACATAAACAGATAGATATAAACAGACTTTCTTAAAAGGCAACCTTTACAGCAGAGAATTCCCATTTCCAGATTCTTTTTTTTGAGACAGGGAGTCTCACTCTGTTGTCCAGGCTGGAGTTGGCAGTGGCAAAATTATAGCTTACTGTAGCCTCCACCTCTCGGGCTTAAACAATCCTCTCACCTCAATCTTCTGAGTAGCTGGGACTATACATGTGCACACCCACACCAGGCTAATTTTTGTATTTTTTTAGTGGAGACTGGGTTTCGCTATGTTACCCAGGCTGGTCCCAAACTCTTGGGCTCAAGTGATCCACCTGCCTCAGCCTCCCAAAGTGCTGGGATTACAGGCGTGAGCCACCACACCCAGCCCCAGATTCTTAATACATTTGATTTTCTCGTTCTTAGTAGCTTTTCTTCCAGATTTTATTTCACATTGCATTTTGCAGAACTATAAATAAAAAAAGAAACCTTTAATGACATAGTTATAAGACCCTAAAGTTCACTGCTAGACATTGTTGAATTGTGAGAAAAGAAATCAAACCAAGGTGACTGATTTATCATTCCTATCACTCTAATCAGCAGTGAGCTCCCTAAAGTCAACTATGTCCTGCTTGTTTTTTTACTTCCTGATACTATCTACAGCATTGAGCTTGGCATACAGTAAGCACTCAGACAGTAAAAGAACATACATTCGACACTGAAAAGAATACCAGAAAGTAGCCAACACCAGCTGGTGGAAAGTCATTAGCTATTCTGTTAACTTGATTGCTCAGTGTTCTACCAATTTTGATAGTCTATTTTTCAAAATGAACTCAAAGAACACCTTTTGACATCTCCCAACTGCCCTAAGCAGACAGTGATGCTAAGTGAAAGAAACTGGGTTTAGCTCCTTCTATGAATTCTAAGAACTAGTTGGACTAAGCCACAGTGTAACTAAACCTATTCCTGGCACAATGGGAGAATAACTCTATTAAGAAACCCTAGGCTGGGCATGGTGGCTCATGCCTGTAATCCTAGCACTTTGGGAGGCGGAGGTGGGCGGATCACTTGAGGTCAGGAGTTTGAGACCAGCCTGGCCAACATGGTGAAACCTCGTCTCTACTAAAAATACGAAGAAAAGAAAGAAAAAAAAAAATTAGTCGGGTGTGGTGGTGGGTGCCTGTAATTTCAGCTCCTTGGGAGGGTGAGGCGTGAACCTGGGAGGAGGAGGTTGCAGTGAGCCCAGATTGCACCACTGCACTCCAGCCTGGGCAACAGAGAGAGATTCCATCTCAAAAAAAATAAATAAATAAAAGAAAAAAAAGATTGCTCCTATTTTTGTATCAGACAGACTGGGCCACTGGTAATATTTTATACTTTATATCATTCCAACATATCCCCCAAATGTGCTTAATTCTCAGTGGTTTACCTCAACTGCTTAGCTTAAAAGTCCACTGACTATCCAGGAAGAACCTGCTTCATCTCTTATCCCCACCACACTTAAAAGATGCTTTACCTTTTCTCCTCTCTCTCTCTCTCTGTCCTTCTCTTCTTTTTTCTTTTTTTTCTCACTATGCCCATCTGTGTGGAGGCCAGGAAGTGGCAGGGGAGGTGCTGCTGCTCCAGCGTATGGGATGCTGGGAGGAGGGCCAGATGTCACTGTGACCTCTCCCACTGGCAGAGCAGAAAGTCCTGAACTTCTCTTGGATTTGGAGTGTCGCTTCTCTTTATGCTTCTCCTTGTCTTTCTTCTTTTTGCTCTTCTTTGACTTCTTTTTCTTCTTGATTTCCCGGTAAGAATCATCTATCACTAACTCCCCAGCCTCTAGTTCCCCACCAGAGGATGAGTCTGATTCTACCAGAATAGGTTCAAGCCCTGAAAGATCAAGGTTACCACTGTGGGACTCTGGGAACTGGGAGGCATCAGACCCACAGCCTTCAGGGCCAGGAGATGAATGTGGGTCTGAGGATGACTTGTGCTTTTTCCGGGCTGTTTTCAGAAAGCTCTGTAACTCATGTCCTAGGAGTAAAGCACCCTGCTCATCCCGAGCTGATTTCTTTGAGGATTTTTTCACAGTTGCTTGTTGAGAGGGATACTGAAAAGACTCCTCATCAACAGAGCTGCTTCCCTTCTCCTTTGGTGAGAGAATAAGTTTCATTTTCAAACCATCAGGCTCCCGAAGGGTCAGTGTCTCTGTGTTCACATACAGAGGTTTCATTTTTTTGGATTTGTGGGAGGCACCATCCTCCAGGGGTAGTTCCCCACTGCTTCCACTGACTTTCTTCCTGTGGTGCTCCTTTTTACTGTCCGAATGGCTTGAAGAGCCAGAGGATTTCTCCCCAGTCTTTTTGGAGGGCTTGGAGCCTGCTGCCAGTGGGGAAGTGATAGCTTTCAACAGGTCCATAGCTGTATCGGTAGTCTGTGGGCTGGACTTTTTCTTTTTCTTCTGTGACGATTCCAAAGACGAAATGTCTAGAAATAATCAGGAGAAGTACTGTCAATATGATGGGAAGCAACTTCTAACAAGCTTCCTCTCTCATCAAAAGCACCTAGCTAACATGAGAAAGAGGCTAACAGGAATGATCTGAAGGGAGACCCTTTAACTGATTCCTAACATTAAGAAATGATGCCCTCGTGCTTCTTGGCTTGGTAGATTCTGCCTCTGACCCTGGACACAGTTCTTGCCACTAAAGTTGTTTCTCTTCATTGAGTCTTCAGAAGCAACCAAAGAGCACATACCCAGAAGAATTGACTGTAGCTGTGGGATTATGGGAAGTTAACAATTCAGAAGAACAACTATAGCTGTGGGATTATGGGAAGTTAACAATTCAGAGTGCAGACAGAGTATCATTTGTTTCTGTGTTCAGGACAAACCCATTCTCGGAAAAGTTGAGTTTTGTCAGCTATGTGCATAACACAGCTAAGAAAACTGGTTCTGTGAGTGGATATACACTGGTTGAGAAGTGACCCACAGGTGCAGGCCAGAGGACTACATATGGCAAAAGGGATGCTAGGTAACAATGGGCACAAGATAAGTGGATGATTGGGGGGAGAAGGAACCTGGTACCTGGTGTATCACAAATGCAGACTGTTCTTCTATGCTGAATCCTCCAAAATACCAGCCCTCCACCTCTCTCCTCCTTCACACTGGTTTATCGGCACTCAGAACAAGAACCACTGTCCTGTTAAATAGGCCACTGAGTCAGCAACATCTGGATCCCTTTCCCCTACCCCGACTCCAAGAACCAGCGATGTGTTTATCCCACCTGTTGCCCATTCCCATCCTCACCTCCATAGTAGTAATCATCAGAGGAGTGCTTCCTCTTCTTCTTGTGTGTGTCCGTCCCCAAGAAGTAAAGTTCGCTATCCTATAATTAAAGAAGAAGAATTGACCAATAATAAGATGATGAGGCAAATGCAGTTTGGAACCACTCCTGTCTTTGATGATTTCTGACTTTGGGAAACAAAGCACAAGAAATAATAAAAACAGATGCGCACAACATTTTATTTTTCTTTTCTAAAGTTATTAAAAAACACTTCCTTCTTCAAATATAAGGGAATATGGTAAGAAGTAGTTTAAGACTTTCCTGGTGCAGTGGCTCAGGCCTGTAATCCCAGCACTTTGGGAGGCCGAGGCAGGTGGATCATTTGAGGTCAGGAGTTTGAGACCTGCCTGGCCAACATGGTGAAACCCTGTCTCTAATAAAATACAAAAATTGGCCGGGCTTGGTGGCAGGAACCTGTTAATCCCAGCGACTCGGGAGGCTGAGGCAAGAGAATCGCTTGAACCCGGAAGGTGGAGGTTGCAGTGAGCAGAGATCACGCCACTGCACTCCAGCCTGGGCCACAAGAGCAAAGAAAACCTCTGCATCAGGAAAAAAAAAAAAAAAAAAAAAAAAAAAAAGAGTAGTTTAAGACTTTCCTAATTTAAATTTTTAGGACTTACCTTCAACTTCTTCTTGGAAGAATTCCTGACCTGAGCAGCAATTTCTTCCTCTTCCCTTAAAAAATCTTTGTAAGAACGTTTTTTCTCTCGTTGGCTTCGGCCAGCTGCAAGTCCTATGTCCTCAAAGGTATGATCACCATCAAAACAATCTGAGAAGCACAGGTTTATTTGGGAAAGGAAATGAGAAAGTCAAGTAAGTAACGACCAAATCACCATGCAGGTAATGCAACAGTTCCTCTATTTCCAAATTAAAACAATGTTTCAATCAAGTCCACTGAAATACAGGGCTAGACCCAGGGGAACAGAGTATTTCTTGATGACCTGGCTGCAAATACAAGAATCAAACCTGAAGAAACAATGTTTCCACGCTATGCAAAGGCCCCATGTGCAACCTCAGATATGATTTCTTAGTTGTGATTTGGTAGGTGGACACAGACTTGCAGACGAAAGGCTGAAAAGAATAAGGATTCATGATTCATGTGCTGTGCTGCTCTCTGTGGGAGTCCAGGATGTGATTCCTATCCCCAGACTCCTGCACACTGGAGCTGGCAAGGACCAAGAGTGCTGCAGGGGATCACCCCAATAAACTAAGAGACTCATATTTCAGACTCTCGTGTTGGAACCCCTGTCCTGGTTTTCGTTTCCATGGGCCCAGTCTGGGGATGGCGTGGAGGCTGAGTGTCATAACAGTGCTCTAGACCATCACTTGGGAGTCCAGGCTGTGGTGCCCAGTCCTGGTCTCTATATCCATGGGCTGCAAGGATTGAAGAGGATACCCCCTTTGGAATGCTTCTCAGATTATGGGGTCATACCTTCTTTCTTCACGGAGTCATCATAAGCCATGGTGGTCCTGCAGGGCCTTTGAGAATGTGTCACTGTGTCCAGGCTCCTTCCCGTCTACAGGACCAGGTCTGAGAAACAAAGAAGGAAAACCCTCCTGTAATGCGAAATCAGAGGAGAAGCAACCTTCCAGATGGAAATGTGTAGTGATCCAAGGGCCGACTGGAAGGGCAGCAAGAAATAAAGGAGTGTCTTGTCACCTCCTCATTCTCTTTGTAAATATAGTGGGGTTGATACTGCAGGAAGTACACTAGGCTTAATTAGATTTCAGTCATGAATTAAAGTTGTCATTTGGGGAAGTATATAAAATACCTCCAATACAAAAAATATTTTCAAAATTAATGAGAATTTCTGAAATGCCAACAGGACTGACAACACTGAGACAGGGTAGAAACCAACATTAAGTTAGAGGGATAGGTTCAATCATGGTTATAAAATACACAGGTAAAGCAAGATGCAGAGAAGACAGATCACACCAAACATTTGAAGACCATAAAATCCTACCAACTGGATTGGTGAACTGGTAACATCTATTGCATTGTAATTTAAACAGAAATGATTAACTGTATAGGAATATTAAATATCTTTAGAGCATAATTTCTTTTGCATTTTGGGGGGGGTTACATGAATTTGTTCAAATTTATGTAATTGTAAAAGCAGGTACACTCCTTACATCAGTTGACCGTGGGACAGCTGTCACCACCACCAAGGCTTTCTTAAAGGCTAGGTGAAAATAGGGAGATATTTATCATTTGTCCACTGGTCATAAAACTTTTATGATTAATAAGATCTTCACTAATAAGAATTGCTATAATTTAAATGTTCTAGATATTGTATTGAGTTTTATTGAATTTTTACAATCTTTTTTTGGCATTTGAGTTTATATGTCCATTTTGACTTTGAAGGTAACAATGCTATAAAATGCACTGAAGTTTTTTTGTTTTTCTTTTTTTTTTTTTTTGAGACAGTCTTGCTCTGTTGCCCAGGCTGGAGTGCAGTGGCAGTTTCGGCACACTGCAACTTCTGCCTCCCAGGTTCAAGTGATTCTCCTGCCTCAGCCTCCCCAGTAGCTGGGATTACAAGCACCTGCCACCACGCCCGGCTAATTTATGTATTTTTAGTAGAGATGGGGTTTCACCATCTTGGCCAGGCTGGTCTTGAACTCTTGACCTCATGATCCACCCGCCTCAGCCTCCCAAAGTGCTGGGATTACAGGTGTGAGCCATCGCGCCCAGCCAAGGTAAAGTTCTTTAAAAGTTTTAAGAACAAGTAATGTCACAAGTCCTTCAGGAAATTTAAAATTACATATTAAATATTTTGGCAATGTTCTCATCCAATTAAGTCAGATGCTTACAAAGTTAATCTAATTGATCATTTATTTAAATTTAATTTGACCTTCATTATTATAAGGGGATTTAGAAATACTGAAGGACACTTAAATGACATATTACTAATTCCTTCAGGCAGCAGTGGACAATACTGAAGCATGGAACTTTTGTGAAAGAAAAGATGAATTTGATTAACAAGGGAAGCTTTCATAAGTTACATTAAAAAGACTTATTTGCACAAATCAGATAAAATACAATGTACAGGTAGGCCTGAATAGGAAAATGAAGCATTACGAAGAATGATTTATAAGAAAAGAAACATAAAAAAGCATTTCTTCACTTCTCTGAGAAGTGAAATAAAGAATGGATTTGGTCAAAGTAACAGAAGCTAGAGTAATGAAACTACATTAACTGGATTGTTTTAAAGATAAACTGGAGAACTGCCTGTTCGAAGGGCCTTTTCACAGGAAACGAAGGGGACATAAAGTCAGGCCTCAGATAAAAATGTGAGGAGGCAAGATACATACTGTAGCCAGTTTTTCATGTTCCAGCATTTAAGGATGAAAGTTTCTCAGTGGAAACTACTGTCCTCCCCTTTCCACCCAAGTGGTGCTGACTCCAAAAGGGGTGCAGGTAGGAGAAGGGAAATATAGGGAATTATATCCGTTTATTTGAAAACAGCATATCCTCTCAAAGGCACTAAAATACTGAGTGTATAAGAAAAATATACAGATTATATTGGTTTTCATAGGCTGATAACGCCAAGAACCACTGGAGACCTCAAATTAAACACTTTCCGTGCATGAATTTTCATGCATGAATTTTGGCAAAGAATATTTAAGAAATAATAGCAAAAAACTTAAATATTCCATGTCATAAATACAGTCATCAATGTTTTGTCAACAACAAAATGCACTTGTAAATGTAAGCAGAGGCTGGTCCTGAGACTTACAAACAGGCCTTCCCTTTGGTAACATCAAAATCAACATAAAACAGAGTTGGGCAACTTAACAGAACAGAAACAAGTACCTCTGAAAACAGAAAGAAAGAAGATGACTGAATCGTGGTCTTGTTACTGGCTGCTTTAAAAAACTTGTGGATTAAAAAGTTGTGTGAAAGGGAATAGAAAATTAGGAACTGCTTCTCAGAGGCACAGGCCAACACAGAAAATGTGTTAGCATTACATCTTAGATTAGGTCTGCCACTGTTTACATTTTCTTTAAAACACTGAAGAGCACTTTATAATTTACTGGATTAAATAACCTGAAGAAAAAAAAGGAATGAGGCCTGAAGACAAGTCCAATTCACTAAAGAACTGGGGCAGCCAAGAGGTTGGAAAACTAAAATTAAACACAACGGACTGTTATCACTCACAGCTTGGGAAGATCATGGGCCTTGAATTTCTACATTCTTTAAAATCAGGATATTATTGCAGCTCAGGGTTTAGTTTTGGTTGCTGACTCATAGAAGAAAGATACCAGATAAATCTCAAGCAACAGTGTGAAAGAAAGGCAGAGTTCAGGCAACATTTATATAAGATCAGACGAACCCCTGGTATTCCTTCCAGGTCTTGAATACGATCTGTGAAAATTCAGAGTCCAGGGGTAGAGAGTAGATTGTGAGGATTAAAGAAAATGAAAAATACTAGGTTTGATTTTCACATTAGAAAAGGGAGGTCATAATTACATTACATGTTGGCAAACGTGAAACAGGTGTTAACCCATTCTCAAGTCAATAATTTGGGAGTTTATAAAATTCAATGTTGTCAACTCCCAAGAGGCAGGAATAATTTTTGTTTGTCTCAGTGTGCCAAGATATGACAACGTAAGTTCATTATTTCATACTGTTGATACAAGTAAAAAACTGGTACCATAAAAATGTATACTTATGAAATGCACAAATCGTTAAATAGCTCTTCGGGGACTTTTCTTTAGGATATGAAAAGGAGGCGGCAGAGTTGCTCTTTCTCTTGTAGACAAGTATACAAGTTATGTTCAGGCATAGGCCTTTGGGATGACCAAAGTATTTAGGAGGGAAAAAATCCTCACATATAGTACTTTGTTATTTGGCAACTTCAAATTATACTAAAAAAAAGGTTTCAGATGTTTGTTTTTTTGAGGTAACTTGAGCTCCCGCACTCAACAAGCTTCTTCACCCCATAATGTAAATGAGCATTGAAAAAAAGGAAACAAAGTGAGTCCCGCAAACGGGCACTAAGAGAAATTCTGAAATCCAGGTCTGTTCCAGGATGAGAGCCAGGTCCAAGATTCTGCGTTCTCTTCTTCCAACACTCCTTTCAATAACTCAAAATGCCAGTCAGTGCAGGTAAAGGAAGAGGCACATCCGCCGGTTGGCAATTTCGGAAATTTTCTTGTTACTTCTAGGATACAGGCAAGTGATGCCTTCTCATCTTCGTCCAGGTTTCCTCCAATCTCCGAACACAGTGACTACGAATCCTCTTGCCACTCCCTTCTCCAGGGACCTACCTAGGCAGCACTCCCAGCCCCTGCCAGCTCTGGAAGCTGCAGAGATCCCGACAGTCTGGGATGGGGATGGAATCCTCTCATTGCAGTGCAATTAAGCGGAACCACGACCACCGCACAGATTGGCTGACAACACACATTCCCTAAGACCAGCGATAGAAATTTTGACAAGCCTTGTCCAATCAACAGGCTTTATTTGGGATTCAGTTTTTTTAATTTGTTCTACCAGGAGGAAATATAATCAGCCACCAGCTTAGCCCTCAGCAAGAGGGGAAAGAGATGTTTCTCCGCTTTTGCACGCTATAAAGTGAATCTACAAGTAGTAGTTGGTGGAGGGAAAATGGGCCTGCACGGAGAAGGCTCCCACCACGAAGGCATGGCCAAGCCGGGTTGCACGCAAAGAATACACACAATACCCGGTGATTTACACAAACTGCCCCCAGGACCACCATTTTTGTGGTCCCCACGGCAAACGAATGGGATTCTCCCGGCAGTTCTGCGGCAACAGCTAGTTCAACAAAGCTCTATGAAGAGGAAAAGAAGAAAACTCCTCGTACCTTCTCCTGCCAGCCGCGGCCCCAGCCCTCCCGTGGCCACAGCCACGAGCGCTTTCCCCCTGACAGCCCGAGGGACCCCCGCATCGCGGGTTCCGAGCCGCACAGCTCGACCTGGACCCGGGTTCCCGCGTCCCCGGCGGCCTTACGGCGCCCCCGAGGGCGGAGACGGCCCGGGCAGGGGGAGGGGCGGCCCGGGTCCGCAGGCCCCCGGGGCGGCCGCACGCCCCCTCCCGGCCCCGCAGCTTTCCCGCCTTCCCCGTTTGAACAGCTCCCGCCCGCCCTCCTCCTTCTGCCCGCTCCAGCCCCTTCCTGGGGGCGGCTGCGGCCGCTACTCCAGTCCCCGGCTCGGCCCCTGGGGTAGGCCGCGACGGGCCTGGGGCACCCCAGAGGTGGTGTCGCGGGCCCAGGGCGGCAGGTGGCGGCGGGGCGGGGCTGCTGCCGCCTCAGGGTGGGGGCCCAGCCCGGTCTCCTGGGGTCTCCGCTCGCCGCTACCTTCACTCGGCTCGCCCGGATCCCGCCTCAGCGCCGCCGATCGCCGCCATCTTGGAGAAGGAGAGAAAAGCGCGAGCGGCCAGGGAGCCTCAGTCGAGCCCAGAGCGCAGACTCGGGCTCCGGAGGGGGAATCCCGCTCGACCAAGAGCGCCGAGCGCATCGAATAAAACTCGGAGCTTGCTGAGCGCGGGAGCTGGCATTTATTTATTGAGAATTTGCTATGTTCCCAGCCTTGCGCTAGAAGCTTACAAACATTATTTCACTTGATCCTCACTGCATTCCTGTCGCATTTTGCAGAAGAGAACCAGGCTGGGAGAAGTGACGTGCCCAAGGATACACAGGTAGTTGGAATATGAGACCGAGTATTACTCCAAGTCTTCTGATTCTGAATGCAGTGCTTTCCCCAAAATACTATGCTGTTTCTTTCAAGGTATTTTTATACAGCAATTCTCCTCTTTGCAAAACCTAGATCTATGCAGATTAATAGCAGCGTGCTTATTTAGACCTCAGCATCTACATTTGAACATTTGGCATATTAAGGGTGAGGTGGAAGAACTTATCTTTGTAACAATGTACAGTAAAATAATTTTCATGGCGAATCATCTACATTTTTTAGTTAGAAACAGTCTTCAGAGAGAGAGGAAGAGATGTCATTTACAGGCGAGAAACAAGTTTTCTGATTTGCCGTGGAGAACTTGGACCAATGAGTAGAAATTACAGTGTATAGAACTTGGTTTAATATGAAGAAGAACGCCAGGGGCGGTGGCTCACGCCTGTATTCCCAGCACTTTGGTAGACTGAGGTGGGTGGATCACCTGAGGTCAGGAGTTCGAGACCAGCCTGGCCAATATGGTGAAACCCTGTCTGTACTAAAAATACAAAAAATTAGCCGAGCATGGTGGTGCATGGCACATGTCTGTAATCCCAGCTACTCGGGAGGCTGAGGCAGGAGAATCACGTGAACCCGGCAGGCGGAGGTTGCAGTGAGCCAAGATCGCACCACTGCGCTCCAGCCTGGGGGACACAGCGAGACTCCATCTCTCTCTCTCTCTATATATATATATGAAGAACTTATTTTTCTTGTACAGTTCAATAGTACAATGGGCTTCCTTGTGAGAAGTGAGCTCCCTCTCACTGGAGGAGCGCTCAAGCAAAAGCTGGTGTTACTGTAAAGCAGAGAGGTTAGAGATGTAGACTGGCTTCTAGAGTTGTCAACCCCATGCAACGTAAAATCATGTGCGCAATGTGTGTTTTCCTGGGGCTCAGGCCCCATCAAAAATTAAGAACCCCTGTCCTAGCAGATTTTCCATTGCAGAGTTGGGTGAGTGCTTGAAGACGAGGTAGTCACGAGACCAACAGAAGCAAGGTGATTTGTCTAAGACCACACTGCTAATCAGTGATCAGATAAAGATGAAAAGCCAGATTGTTGGACTCTTGGTTCAGTGCTCTTTTTGCTCTATCATGCTCTCTCCCCCTGTGCACTGAGTACAAGATTGATTCTGTTCCTTACAACTGTGAGGTGCTGCGATGTTAAAACACCTGAGATAAAGTTGCTGAAATCATTTGCAAAATGCAACCGCACATACTTAATAAAAGTAGAATGGCCTTTTTCTCCGCAGCTCTTATCCTACTCACCAAAAAGACAGGCAATGAATTTCACCAAAAGGTGTTAGATTGCATTGCTGGGACACCTTGCCTGATGTTAGGCTTTCCTCTGAGGCATTTAAGAGCCCTAATGATGTATTTCCTTTTTGTTCTTCAGAGCCCTAAATCCATTGGTCAGGATGATTTCAGTTGTGACAGAAAGCCATTTCCATGTGGTTCCCCAGAAGAGAATGTATTGGCTCACATGATTGAAATTTCCAGTACCTGCAGACATGGTTACATCCAGGGAGATAACTCAGGCTGGTCCCTTGACATCTCTGTGGTGCTCTCCTCTGAGTTAGCTTTATTCTCAGATTCAGGTGATGACTCCAGCAGCTCCAAGCTTCATCATCTTTCCTGCTAGCAGTGTCCCTGTGAAGGGAGGTTTTGTTTGTTTGTTTGTTTTGAGACAGGGTCTTGCTCTGTCACCCAGGCTGGAGTGCAGTGGCACGATCACAGCTCACTGCAGCCTCGACCTCCTGGGTTCAAGCAATCCTCCCACCTCAGCCCCCGCAAGTAGCTGGGACCACAGGTGCATGCCAACATGCCCAGGTAATTTTTGTATTTTTTGTAGAGATTTTTTTTTTTTTTTACCATGTTGCCCAGGCTGGTCTCAAGCTCCTGGACTCAAGCGATCCACCTGCCTTGGCCTCCCAGAGTGCTGGGATTACAGGTGTGAGCCACCATGCCTGGCCCTGGAAGGGGTTTCGTTTTCCCTTTTGCTTTGGCAAAAGTCATGGGATTGATGATTCTTGCCTGAATTGGATCATGTGTCCAGACAAAAAGCAATCACTGTGAGCAAAGGTGTGGGCTCTGCTGATTGGCCAAATGAGGTCACCTGCTTACCTCCAAAAGTAGGTCGGGGTAGACACCAGGAAAATCAGGGGTTGCTGACAGAAGAGTAAGTGCATGTTAAGTAGGCAAACACAGTAGCTGTCCACGCAATGTACCACTAGCTTGGACCTAAAAATGTGATGAGTCCTATTGGTCCCATTTCTTCTTTTAGTCCACCTGAAGATGGAGCATATCAAGTTCTTGCTCATTTTAAGCTCCTGGAGACCCGAAGTCAGATCTCTCCTCAGCCTACTCTCTCAATCACAAAATGCTATTCACTTGTTCCCAGTCTTGGATCATTGCACGTCCATTTATTAAACAGATATTTGTCGAAAACACAGCATGTGGCGAGCACTGTCCTAGGTGTTGGGAATAGAACAGTGAAGAGAATTGAGAGCCCCTGGTCCCCGGGAGCTTACATTCCGGTTGGGTTGGGGCACACAAAATTAAGATATGAATACTATATTCAGTGATAATCAGAGGTGGAGAAAATAATGCCAGGTTGGCTAAGAGAGTACCAGCGGGGGATGAGGGTAGGAACAGCTTGTTCTTTAAAATAGTAATCAGGGAGGCTTCTCTGTTAAGGTGCACACCGGAGCTAGCTCAGCTAGAAGTGGGTTGGTGGTGGGAGCCAGGAGGTCGTTGTTCCTTGAATAGATTCAAGTGCTTCCTCTGTACCTTGATGGAAAAGTATTCCTTGTTGAATATCTTTTCACAGTTCTCTTGCATGTTTGAAACTTGGAAAGAGAGAAAGGAGGACTCCCTGGGCAGGCCTAGTCATGGTGGGGTTTGTGAATAAGAATGCCTTTTCCCATGGCAAGTGAGGATGGCATCTAGGATATGTGAAGAGGGGGCACTCCCTAAGTGTGGGGCTGTTCTCTGGTCCACCTGGCCTAAGGAAAACTGCCCGGTGCATGGCAGCAACAGGTGGGGCCTATCAAATTGTGCTTCGTTTGGGCATCTCCTTCAGACTGTTTTTCTGTGCTCTTCTCTTTCCAGATGTATTTTGAGCAGCTTCTTTGTATTAGGTCTGATGGGAGGATGCCATCCTGGGTACATACATTAGGCCAGGGTCTTTTGCCAGAAGTGACAGGACCTAATTAAAACTACGTTAAGAGACAGGCAGAGGGACATACCACAGATACTCAGTCTGTGTGTGTGCCCTAAATTGCAAAATAAAAAAATAAAGAGACCAGTAGAAAATATGTAACTCATGTAAAAACCAAAACAAAGCAAAACAAAACAAAAACCCACTCAGAGCCAGAGAGAAGCAGGCCCTCTGGACAGCTGGGTCCGGGGATTCAAATCCTTCCCTCTTCCCTCTGTTCTCTCAGGCTGGCAGTTCTTAGGGGTCTGGAATCATGGCCACAGGTAGCTCAGGCTTACATCTTTATAGTCTCCTGACCAGAGAGGAAAGAGCATGATCCCACATCAGCAACACACACACACACACACACACACACACACACACACACACACACACACACACACACACGTGCACGCACTAAATCCAAGAGAAGAACTCCAATTGGCTGGGATGCGGTCATGTGATCATTCAGTATTGTGATAGACAGTTCCTGGCGCACCACAAAGTTGCAATAGGGCATTAGTCCTTCCACAAAGGAAAGGGGATCTATTCTGGGAAGACAAATAATAAAAGTCCCCTATGGTGAAGCAATGATACTTGTTTTCCTGCTTTTGAACAACTTATTATCTTCTGTGTATGTGTTTTGTGGGCAATGTAAAACAAGTCCAAGTCCATAATTACCGTGGTACAAATGTAAAAGCAGGATGTGCCCCAGTAGATGGGCCATCTCTCATTGGGCTATTACAATAGCTTCCTAATTGATTTTTATCTTCAGGGCCCCCTCCCCACTTCCAAGTCCATCTGCCATTGCCATCAGGATAAAGCACTGCTAACATGAGCTTATACTCCAGTTAATGACTTTTTTCTTTCTCTTTTTTTTTTTTTTTTTTTGAGACGGAGTTTTGCTCTTGTCACCCAGGCAGGAGTGCAGTGGCGTGATCTCGGCTCACTGCAACCTCCGCCTCCTGGGTTCAAGCGATTCTCCTGCCTCAGCCTCCCGAGTAGCTGGGATCACAGGTATGTGCCACCACACCCAACTAATTTTTGTGTTTTTAGTAGAGACGGGGTTTCACCATGTTGGCCAGCTGGTCTCGAACTCCTGGCCTCAGGTGATCTGCCTGCTTCAGCCTCCCAAGCTGGGATTACAGGCAAGTGCCACCATGCCAGCTAATTTTTGTATTTTTAGTAGAGACGGGGTTTCTCCATGTTGGTCAGGCTGGTCTCGAACTCTTGACCTCATGATCCACCTGCCTCGGCCTCCCAAAGTGCTGGGATTACAGGCGTGAGCCACCATGCCCGGCCACATTTTCTTGTCTCTAATGGGTCCCCCACACTCCACCACTTTTGCCAGCTCATGCATCTAGCTAGCACCATGCACCTAGAAAGTGCCTATTTATTCTTCAAGATCTAACTTGATACTGACAGATAAATAGACAAATGTGCCATATACATACAGTAGGATATTACTCAGTCTTAAAAAGAGGGAAATCCTGCCATCTGCGACAACATGGAAGGACATTATTCGAAGTCAAACAAGCCCA